CCCACATTTATGTACATCCTGGTATGATTAGATGCGCTCCAGAATCAGCTGTGGGATTGCCTGTTGCTGCAGTAAGCAGCCGACTTTTGCACCTCAGTCGCACATGCAGAATGGAAGATCGTGCACTGCCGTATGGGTGTTCCTCAGAACTATCCCTATAGATCCTATGATCCTATCACATCCCTTGAGTTGCTCAGGACCAGTGGTCTTGAGAACCCTGCACAGTGAGCAGCGCAACAAACACATGGTAGTTTCCCAGAATAGGGGACCCCCAAAATGGAGCCCAAAGTGATATAGTCCGTATTCTAGGGACCCCCAAAATGGTATCCCTAATTTTGGGAAACTCCCAAATCTCAAAGATCAAGGCTGAGCCTGCTGCAAACGGCAGCGAGTCCGTCAATCCCCATTTCTGACAAATCTTGACCACAGCCTGACTGGCACGGTTTAGGTTTTAGGATGTTTTAGGGGCAAGTACTACAGGTCCTGGGTGGCTGCAAGTGTGTAGGCATATCAGGAAACACTGGCGCAATGTGTAACAATCAGAATATTACCTGGTGAAAGACTGAGCTTTTCTCTGCCTAGGCTTGCAGAAGGGGCCCGAACCTGTAGAACAGGATTTCCTACATTCGTGAGTAGCCTGTACCTTCTCGCTCATGTCCTACCGCAGCTGCGATGAGAAGAAAGGTTAGCATGACAAACAACACGTTTAAACAAACACAAAAACTTTCGTGGATGTACTACTGCAGCTTGTGCTGAAGCATGCTGGAATTCTACAGGACAGGTATGAGGGGGAACCAATGGTTCGGGCTCCAAATTGCAATCCTACACGTGAAGTCCTAAACTCTTAACCCTAAACCCTAAATCCTAAACCCTAAACCTTGAACCGGCCCTATATCCTAAACCCTCAACCAGTATTGCAACAGGCCTGCTGAATGCACCGGGCAGTTGCCGACAGTTGCCAAACCCCTAGACACCAGACCCCTAGACCCTAGCCAGAACAATGCCATCAGGGTTTAGGCTTTAGGGTTACATGAGGGTATGTAATATCGGTGATTTTTGGGACGATGGGAAAAAAAAGGGAAACTACTATCTAGGGTTTGGGAGGTACTTTGAGCCAGAAAATTGCTCCATCAGTCTCCCCTACCCCACCCCAAAACTTCGGAATATGGAATGCGCCGCAAATAATCCTGCTTCCGCTTGCAAACTTCCGGTACAGTTATCAGGCCTGTACCCTAAAACCTGCCTACCCCTAATTTGGGGGACCCTAAACCCGATATAACCCCCTTTATACAAACCCTAAACCCTTAACCCGAAGCCCTAAACCCTAAACACTAAACAATCTACACACCATCTTCTGGGCAAAGGCTGCCAAGGCCTCACCGAAGAGTTGCCCGCCCCGAAGCCCAGAGTAAAAGGCAGCCCTGCACGCGCGGCTTTCTTCAAGCTTCTAAGATTTATTATTGATATCATCATTGCTTCGGGTTTGGGGGGCGGGGTAGGGGGGGGGTGGTTGTCATTTTGGAGCTTAAAATTTGAAAATTAAAGCTGAAGGAAATTTGAGAACCCTAAGCAATGGTAAGTTTATATGGGCTTGCGGGTTTCGGGTTTTAGGGTGTAGGGCAAGCACATGCGTGTAGTCATGTAAATACATTAATCATATGCGTTATGCCATATGCACTATGCGACAAGCTTGGAGACATGCATGGGCAACTCTCTGACGGTGGTGGCGCGAAGTTCCAGCGCAGAGCACTGTTGAAACATATTCCTGATCCCGAAATCATTACTTTTGCTTCGTGCATGCCAGGCTGTCCAGCAGATCCCTCACTGTACACGGCGGGCACCGATGGCACGAGGTCGGCCGTGAGCTCCTCCATGAGGAGCTGCATCACCGCATCCGTGATCAGGTCCACCTTGTCTGCCTCTGTTGTGCCTGAGTCTTTGGAACCAGCAGACTGCACTTGCTGTGCGGCTACGCTTCTCTTCTGCCTTGCTTCCTCTTGCTGCGCTTGCTGTTGGAGCACGGCTTCCACTGTCACCTGGCTGAGCAGGTCATCCGTGATAGCATCTGCCTGCAAGCTCAGATCGGCTGCGGATGCTGCCTCTGTGTTGAGGCTTCCAGCAGAAATCACTGCAATGCTGGGCAGGACATGAACTGCAGGCCCATGTGCTGCAGAACTTCGGTCGCTTGCCGCCTTGTCCTGCTCATCGCTCTCGCTGGCTGCAGCGGAGTCCTTAACGTTTAGGGTGTTAGAGTGTAGAGCTCAGGGCACGCTTTCCGTTTCAGCGTCCAGGGCTGGGAGCTAGAGGCCAAATCGTTTAGGGCTCAGCATTGTTTGAAGGTTGAAGGTCCGACACTGCAGATTTGCGAGAGTTCGGTCTTGCATACTTCAGCCTAGCATGTCTTAATATCCTGCACAGCCCCCCGAAAACCTCAATCAATATCTTTTTGCGCCAGGCTGGCACCCACACATGTTGATAATGCGGAGCTTGCAACATCACAAATTGTCGCACAGCCCTGATAAGACTCCAGTAGCATCAGCCTATACCTGATGCTTAAGGCTTAAGTGACCCTAGAACCTGCGGGATGCCTAGCATCGAAACATGACGAGTGATCCCGGGCGACACGAAGCGAAAAGCGATGCCGGGCGACACCAAGCACCGAACGACGCTGGGCAGCACCAAGCGTTGAGTACCCGGCGTCATCAAGCACAGAGCGACGCAGGTCGACACCAAAAAAAGCTCAGCTTCGCTGAGTTGTTCGGCTGCGTTTGGCTTCCCTTTTTGCTCGGCATCCCTCGGCTTCGCTCGGCTTCATTCGGCTTCGCTCAGCTCTGCTCGGCGTCGCTCGGCACCGCTCGGAGTTGCTCCTCTTCGCTCGGCCTCGCTCGGCTTCACTCGCGATGCTCGTCTTCTCTCGGGGCTCGGCTTTGCTCGGCTGAAGCTCGGTTCGGAAGATTTTCGTACGACGAGCCACCGTCACAATCAAATACCTCACAATCCTGTCGCAAATGATGTCAACTCGTTTGTGAACCATTAACCTGAAGACCGCAGCCTGACCTGCCACCCGTTTCGGTAAAGTGACCGTAGCTATTTTAAAAAATCAGCGGTATAAGCTTTATGGTGTAAAAGAATTCTTGCAAAAGGGAAGAGTGGGAAGAGTACTTGTCGTTGCTCAGCAAGGGTCTTGGCCGCTGCTTGCTCGCCTTGCGTCATCTGCGCGCAAGCTCAGATCTGCTGCGGAAGCTTCCTCTCCGCTGAAGCTTTCAGCGGAAATCTCCGCAATGCTCGGCGCGACATGAGGGGCAGACTCATGCGATGCCGCACTTCCATCGCTGGCCGCCGCCTCGTGCTCATCCTTCTTCTTGCTGGCTGCAGGGGAGTCCTCAGCGTTTATGGTGTCAGGGTTTAATGTTACTTCGGGATCTACTTTTTGAGGGTTTAGGGTACTTACTTTTTGAGGCCGATCGTCTAGAGTTAGGGTTGCGTGAGGGTTTGGCGTCCCACAACGCGCGTTAGCCAGACCTACGGATAAGCTGCCGCAACGGGGCCTATCTGATTAGAATA